GTGTTGTGTGGAACTTCCAAAGATATAATGGCGTTTTATAATAATGGTAATTGACTAATTGTTATTATAATTATGGTGGGGGAAATTATAGTGTCTTCAGCATCTCTGTAAATGGTTTTATATGGCCATATGGGGCTTGTACGTTTGCCATCGTTGTGACGGCATGCGTACGTACCATCCATATATTTGAGACAAGACAATTTTATATTTTTGGAAATTTTATTAAAAATCGATTGATAATGAAGTAATTCAAACTTATCACATAATAATACATGCATGTCGTGTCAAATGAACGGCGTGTAAAGTGCAAACTACTCCTAACGAAGAAAAAAATGTAATCTTGTCTGATAAATATGTAGCTGAGCTCTGGTTACTGAAAGTGACAAATTTGGCTCGGAATCATTCGAGCACCACCTCATTATTCAGCTAACCATGGGCATATTAACGTTTAGTAGAGCAAGTAGAACAGTTAAACACAGCAAAAAAAAAGAAGCAATACTGTGAAACATAGCTGCTAAGTTTTTAGAGCCTTGAATATTCGATTTAATCCTGAAAATATAAATATAAAGGGATATAAATTTCGTGATGTATTGATAAAATAATAATAACGTTCTGCGTATGGATATATAGATCTGGTTTGTGGACCATTGACAAGTACCATAGTCGCGTGAATGTGAAAGGCTTTGGGATTCGATGGGTCCCACAGTGACCATGTCCCTGGATTCAAAACGCCGTCGTTCTATAATTCGAGCTCATGTCAATTATTTTGTTTTACAAATAACATATTATTAAATATAATTAAGAAAAGGTAAACGATATATTTCTATGAAACCCTAAAATGTCAAAGCTGTGCTAGCTGTTAAGAATCGTTTTCCTTTCAATTAATAAAGGGTTGACATTAGAGATCCGATCAGATTTTTTATTGAAAAATTTTAAAAACATGTATACATTTTTGAAATCTTTACAAAAAATGTCATTTTTTCAAAATTATTTTTTCTTTATATCATTTATGTTTGGGTTAATTATGTTCTATTAGAATTTAGTTTTGAAGGTTTATGGGGTTTTAGGAATCAAAACATTTTTTAGGATTTAGAATTTTAAGATATAGGTTTTATAAATCTATAATTAGTGGCATTTTTGTAAATGAGCATCCCTAAATGGCATTCTTGCAAATATGTACACAAAAAGTGACATTTTTGTAATTACTCC